GAGAGAATAGCTCATTCATGTGTTTCAAGCGAGTATGAATGTAAACTGATTGTCTTTATTGAGTATTACGAGTCACGACTTGTGTAACAGTTTATTGCGAATGTTTAAAATATCACAGATGTTAATCGATACATCTTTATAAACTTTTTGACTTAATTTTAAACTTAATTTTACCTTTTCTTTAATCACAGCATCGAAAGTTTTTTTTATTTAAAAACTTTTGCTTATAGAATCCATACGATGACTTTAATTACACACATATTAATTATACACACACACGCGCGCGCACACATATAAAACAGTTGAAAGAATTTTTATTTCAAACAGCCTATATTAATTTTATGTTTTTGAGATGTAAAACATTTTCTATCAAAACTACACTATAATACATATTTATTATATACAAAAAATAAATATATATTTTTTCATTAAAATTGTACGAGTTTATATAAAATTTCTAAATTTCTTTTGAAAAACATGTTAACCTGTTAGTCTGATATTTTATCGTATTGTCATATTAATCCATAACGCAAAAGACAAAGTTAAATTAATTAAATTTCTTAGATTATAAAACAAAGAGAAACTCAAAATTTAACGAATAATTTCTTATATAGTAAATGAATCTTATAATATAAATCTACTGTAAATACCGTTGACTTTGAGATTCTATTTGTTATACGAATATGCATAGAATTATTTAAATTAGTAGGAAAAAAAAACAAAAAAACAAATTAACGATGAGAAGAAAAAATAGACTTTTTTAAATAAAAAAATTATTCTTTATCTAATATTTAAAATTACATTATACCTATAAAAGGATTAATCTGAAAGTTATAAATTTTTTTTATAAATTAACTAACAATAAATACTTTAAAATAAGTTACAATTTAATTACATTAATATCTCGTAAAATTCAATATTACTTAATTTTAATATTAATTTTATGTTTAAATAATATGAACAAGTAATTCCATACTATTTATAATATTGCAATAGATAATAGTGTCACTTTAACTTTATTTACATAACATTTCAATGTACACATTTGCGCTTTATTCTAATATTACATTTTACTCAGATATTAAATATATAACTTTCACATCCAAATATACTTTTGAAACTTTTTAATTCAAAATATAATCTGCAACTGAAAAATTCTTAATAAAGTTTTTAATCAACGATAAAATATTTAAATTCAGATAATACTTTTTATACTACATTACTGTGTATACAAATAATTTATAAATTCTAAGCTTTAATATCTAAATAAAAATTTATTTTTTATTTTTTTCCAATGAAATACATTTTGTTCGTGAATTAACTTTTAAATTACTTATTGACATATAATATAATTATATTAAATGGCTATTACTAAATAAACTCCCTAATTTAGACTTTCTAATTGGAAAATGTATTAATAAATCATGTAATGGTGTAAATTGTAAAAGGAGTAAAAAATAATATATTTAAGAAAAATTTTAAGAAAAATTTTGTTATTAACATATTGTTTATGAAAATATTAAAACTTGAAAGGTTATATTATAAAAATATGAAATACTATAAAACTGTAATTCTGTTATTCAATGTTTTAGTATTACAGTAAGAAGAAATATGCCTTTAAAACTAACAACAACTTATCATAAGATTATATGTTCGTGTATATATATATATATATAGATATATTGAATTGCTGAAATAATGAATCTTAATTATTTCATATAAGATACAAACTTAGAGTTTTCTTCATTTTCATAGATAACTTATCTGAGTCAATGTTGGTAAACAACCTTGAGAATTCTAGTACTAAATTTGACTATCAATTTATCCTTATACTTTGTAAATACCTCTTTATGTTCAATGTTTGCCAAGATTATTTGGATCCTGCCTGCATAAACATTTTTATTATCAATTTAGTATAATTATCCGTTATTATTAATAACGCAGTCTAAGCTAACCGATATACTTTCGTGCACTCATAAACTTCATTAGATTTATTCTGTATTATTGTTCAGTATACTTTTAAATTATTCTTTTATTTGACGCTGAGTTTTTCATAAAAAATAAACTATCCTTCTTCCGACGATATTTTATTTCATTTCATTAGTGTATAGTCATTGCTTATAGATCAAAATTTAAAGGTAATAAGATACTCAATACATAAATCAAGTTGGTTGATGAAAGGATCTAGGAGGCTGAACGAATCAATGGATTAAAAATTCCCTTATTATTCTTTTAATGTCATTTATGGATACAAAAAACAAGTTATCTATTATCTGTCGAAATAAATAGTACTCGTATTTAGAAGCTCGTGGTGATTCTTATTAGTGAATTGGTAAAATATAATGTATGGAAATATAATAATTAATTATAAAAATAAAAGATTTACCCTTTAATAACATTGTAGAATAAAATATCAGTAAGACTACAATTTATTGCTCTTTATTAATAATTTTAATATTATGACAAAGCTTTTCGACCGTTTTACGCTATGGAGCTGCATTTTTAAAAAGCATATTAAATAACGGCCACTATTTTCTATTGTAAATAGAAAATGCTTTCTAAATATATTCTATTGTCAATTATTTAAAGGCCCAATACAAACTGTAAGGGTATATTCCGTCTCTGTTCTTTCTTCTCATCTGCTCACTCGATTATATCAACTAGGATCATATCAAAATATACGAAAAATTTTTTCTTTATATAAAAAATTAATTCGTGCAAAATGTTAATTTTCAACTCTAAAAATACATGCTTAATTACTTAATAAGTTATTCACACGTTCATAAGGGCATGAAAACTATGAACTTAGTGATGGAGTATAGTGTAATTAATATACGATAAATATAACATAATCTAATAGGAATATTTAAAAATAGATATAGTTTTATAGTTGCGTGGCCAACAATGTAACGTGTTCATTAATAATGAATGATGCATTCATAATTCGTATGCAATTAAAAACCAACCAATTAAGAATACAATTAGCATAATAACTATTGAGATGTTAAAAAGTTAGTGCAACTATTAAGTCAAACTATTTTTTTCATACGCGTTCGTTCAGACGTTCTTCGTTCGTCCTTTTTAGGATTTAAATCTGATTCGGCTTATTTAAAATTCCTGCATGTCATAATTCACGAACTGTCGTACATTTGCCACAAACTATACATCTTATTCAGACATGCACTAAATTGAAGCATTTCAACGGTTTCCTCATCATGTTTAATTATAATATATTCTGCCGCAACTACTGTATTTACTTTTATAGCATTGCGCTGTTCGAGAGCTAGGTTGATCTATATCGAGCACGAGAAACGCGACATAAAAGTAAATGTGAAAACGCAAACATAGATGAATCTAATGAGGAGACCGTCTCAGCTGGGGAATGAACCGTGAATTCGAAAACTTCAACGCTCGACAAAGAAGTCAATATTATGATAAAGTAAAATCGAATTTATTGCTCGGGTGATAGATGTTGATCGAATTGTGTAAAACATATTTGAAAGCTATAGGGAAATTGTTGTTTAAGCTTTATTAATTATTACAAGTTTAATAGTTGCCCTCACCAACGATTCATAACGGTTAATTACGACTATTAATATTAACGTTATAATAAACTGTAAACACGCTCAACTAGGAGCGAGCAATATTATAATAGCATTTTTAATAGCTTAATAAATTGTATTGCAAATGTTATTGGAAATTATTATTCGGGGTATTGTATAAATGTTGTTGTTATTATTTTCATTTTCTTTTTTTTTGGTTTTTTTTTTTTTTTTTTTTTTTTTTTGTTTCATAAAATACATAATTTATATTAATTATTAATAAAGAATTGCAAAAATGTATATAACTGCCGAAAAGTTAATTTTTTACTCTTTTACATTGAAACTGTAGATATATAAGTATATTTTAAGCGCGTAGTCGTCTAAGATTGAGATGACTTTTATATAAATTGAGCATGAAAATAAATTTTACATTAAACGTGGCCTAGATTTACTTTTTAGTGCTTCGATTATAAATATTAAAGCACATTCCTAGCTTGTGTAATCCTTGGTAAATCTTCAATGAGCAAGAAAAGAGAAAAACATACTCGATACCTTGTTTGCTAAAATAAAGAAAACGAGCAGTAAATTAGGTGATCGGATAACGTGGAGCCCGTTAACGGATGCAGAAGCTCACTTCGCCCATCATAAATCTCGAGGGGAACCGCGCGCGCCCAACTCGGGCTTGAAGATCCTGTTAGATCAATCAATTGATAACATCTAAATTTTTCTACGGATGATAATGTAGTTTTCTGCAGTACCCGAGTTGGTCGATGCAACCAGTAGACTATGCTTTCAATAGTTTGATAAACATTCTATTTTCAAACTATAATATGCAACTCTATGATAATGTATGACCATCTTCAATAAAATAATAGAAATTGTGAATATAAAATTTATCATCTAAAAAAAAATTTTCAAATATATTTTGAATAACTTTGAATATTTTCAAACACGCAATACTTTTATGCGGTCATTTTTTGTGTAAACTTTAATAACTCTGCTTCATAAATTTCTACTGTTTTGTCAAATAATCTATGTAACGTATAATGCTTAATCGGTAGTCTGAAATTACATTAATCACAAATCACATACAACATAATAATACTTAAATATCTTTAATATTTAAAATGAAATTTCAATAATTTGATTAAAAATTATTTATTACTTCTTTATTTTAATTGCATACAAATTATTATTTTCAGAATTAATACAATTTATTAGCCTACAATAAACAAATAAACAAATATAGATATTTATTATATTTGTATTTGGAATTTATATTTACATATAGTTATATCAAAATATAAGTTCATATATTTTTATTTTTACATATTATCTACACCCATTGCTTATTATTATTTTATAAAAATATCAGCAGAATCCACACTTGAATAGTAATAATATATATTTATATCTACTTTATTGTGTCGATGTAAATTTATATCTACATTATTGCATCAATGTAAATTCATTTTTACATTATTGTCTAAAATGGTATTTGAAAATGTTGAAAATTTATTCTGTAAGAAATTGACTGACTAATGCATTGAATTCATCTGGATATCGTAAATGTAGATTATGTGCCCCAGCCTGAAAAATCTCCATCCTAAAACGTTAAATCAATTGTTTTACAAACAATTTCGGATATTACTACAAGTCCTATTTTCTTTATTATCAAAAATAAATTTACCTTGAATTACTAATATTTGCTTTTAAATAATCTGGATGTTCTCGAAGAACCACAGCATCTTTTATCCCATGTATTATTAAAGTTGGACATTTGATCTTTGGTAAATCGCTCTTGCAAATATCACCATCCTTTTCATCATAAATGTTTTTCATTCCATCAACCCAATCACTCCAAATTCTTCTAAAGTATTCCTCACCATACAAAGAAATAAATGGCGTTTTCATTTTGTTTGACCACGAATCTATATTTCTTATTTCTATAAGTAAATACTTTGTTTAATTTATAATTCACTCGTTCAGCATATAGATTATTTAAACTGAAATATTATTTTTGTTACTTTCGTATATTTTTAATTCTTCTGGTGCAATATATGCATTGGTGCCAGTAACAATCAATTTACGAATATTTTTTGAATAGTTTGCAGCTAAAATAAGTGCTGTAATTCCACCGTCGCTCCATCCAAGTAAAGAAAACTCTTCATAACCCAAAGTTTTCATTAGATTACAAGCCCAAGCAGCATCACGTCTAAAAAAATCTAATGGAAATGTTCGGTTTGGTGGTCTAGACTTTCCATACCCTGGAGCATCCCAGCAAATAATAGTCAATTTTCTTTTATCAAGATAATCGATTTGTGGTTTAAAATCTGTCCATATCGACCCTAAAATGACAAAAATTCATATATATCCATCTTTATTTATTAAATATTAATAAATAAAAAAAAACATACAAATAATTATAACGGTATAATGTATAAAAAATAATTTTAAAAATTGATATAAAACAAATTTTGTTGAATTACCCATAGCTCCTGGTAATAAAAGTACTGGATGGCTCCCTATTCCAGTTCTAAGGTAGTTGATATCTACATCATCTATTTTAATTTTTCGTTCCTTGACTCGACAAAACAAAGAATTATAATATAAACAAAAAATAATTCGTCCGTTAAATTTGAGAAATTAATATAATAATTCTTACTTCAATTTTCGTCGTTTCATTTACGGAATTTAATGTACTTGTCGTCATATGTCTAGAAATATTTCTACTTTCTCTATTTTTGATAAAAAATTTAGAAAAATATTTTATTCTCTTCCACATATTACTTTACACTTGAATTGATTCGATAACGAAAGTATAAGTTATATAGCTGGGCAACTCACTTGTAATTAATTCAATTCAAAGAAAATACAAAACAATCATTTTAGCAATAAAAAATTATATATGCGCGTTATTATTTTATTTTCGTCATTTATCATATTTCGTTGTTATAAATAAATTATCAATTAATTAATTAATAATTTTTAAAGCTAATCTCGAACTTATCATTTCTAAGAGTATATAATATATATTGTTTATATATATGTATATATTTTTAAAAAATCCCTAGTCTATATAATTATTGCATATGTTATGTAGAAATTTCAATTTATCACTAAAGTTATCAAAATACGTTTTCTATTAGGGAAAATGAGAAAGAATGTAATTTTTATTAGAACTCTATAAATTTGACTCTACAAAACATTATTCATTTAAATTAACGCTTAATACAATAATTAATATTTTTTTTTAATCTTTCTTTATGGTGCAAATAAGTAGATATGATTATAATTGAATTCATCATATATATTCGGTTTGCCACAAATATTACTACTGCTATAGCATAATAAATCAACAAAATTGTTACGTATATTACCACATGTATTTTGTTTGTAATAATAACAAATAAATATTCTTCTCATTTTCAATTTGTCAAGTTCAATGATGCTTTATTATTTCTCTACAATAAATATACATTCGTTTTCAAATACTAATTTACAATGTAATTAAAAATAAATAAAAATTTAATTCCTTCATTAATAATAAGATAAAACATGATTTTATACATTGTATTTGAAAAGAGAAATAACGTTGATTTTCTTGAGGTAAAAAAATATAGTAAAAAAATAATGACAATACAATTTTTAAATCAAATCCACTTTCTACATAAATTTTTATACTCTTGCAGGAACAACACTGTTTTAAATTAAAAAATTGCTCTTGCTAGTAGAAATTAGAGAGCAACACTCTAACAAAATATTATTGCTAAGACATAGTAATTTCTATATACTTATATACTAATAGTTAACATTTGAATAATTTAAATTTTCTAATAGCTACATAGTATGTCAAGCATATTTCATTTAAAATATTTTAGAAAAGAAAAATTCATGTCCAGAAAAGTTTTTAAGAAAAGTATCAAAATTACAAATAAAATTACTTCTTAGTTTATTTTTTTATAGTGTAGTAGTTGTGCTGATACTCAAGCCTCATTAAAATAAGCATATAAATGCATAAATAAATATATATATATATATACAAAGAAGATAAATTAATTTTAATAGTTAAATATTTCTTAAAAGTAGCTAATTCTAGGACTATACATAATAATAATATACGAATGCTCAAGTTATTGAGATTAGACCTTTCAAATATATGTAAACTAAATATACTTCAATGTCATTTCTTTAATAATTGCTTTGAATTTATTACCTATATCTTACCATATGTAAATACTGAAAATAAAATAATTGAAAAAAGGGCTTAATTAATTTAAATTTATAACAAAACTAGATTTCTTATGCTCTATTTTATTCAGTCGAGCGTTGGAAAGATACATAATTAATGGTTGATACAGATTTAGCAATGATCAAGATGTTTTTATTCAATTTACATAGTAAAGGTTGTAAAATGTACGACTTGTAATTATATTAGCCTTATAAAATATTATTTGAAAATATGCATATCAAATATTTATATATATATATAAAAAAAAAAAAAAATAATAATTACGCTCTTCTACTAAAATAAACATAAAATGTATAAAAACTAATTAGAGTCTTTAAAACGTTGTTCTATACAAATCGCGAATTATAAATGATATAAATGTCATTTACATATCTCCCTACGATGATAAACTTATAAAATAATAAATAAAAATAAACTTTTCTTTATTTTATAGAGAGAACTAATATATTTGTATATTCTTTTAAAGAAATTTGTACCTTTATGTCGTTTTTAAAAATGAATATATATTATTACAAATAAGTAATGTAAAACATTTAATAATTGCAGTTTTGTATTGACTATATTTTAGCGACGTAAAGTTTAAAATGTTTTTAAATTATGAGACATTTCTTTTTCAAATATATGTCTCCTTGGTTTGAATGTAATGGCTATTTCTTATTATGAGACGAATTGTTAAAAACAGATATTTTTAAACGTAATCTTAAATTAAATGAATGATTAGCGAATGAGTATGAAAATTGCTTATCATGAATCTTGTTGCGATTCTTCTTGTGCTTTGTGATATTCATCAGTCAAATGTTTTTTGAATTTTGTTTGATCGTTCCATAGTTCTGCTGCTTGAGGATTTAGAGGACTGTCATTATTAGGCTCTGAAATAATAAGTTACAATATTACATATATCCATATTTATATAAACATACATAAGAATAAAAAGGATACCCCTAAATATTAAATTAGGATAAATTTTTATGATTACACTATCAAACAATTTAGGAATAATAATAATAATTTTATACTGATTAATTTGCTCATTAATTTTTCTTGTATAAGAGCTTGTAGTAATGTTCAATCATGATAATTAAAATATTTCCTATTGATAAAAGAACTATTAAACATAATTTATTTTATTAATATTACTTTATAAAAGGACTTTTTAATCTATGTGAATTATTTAAAAATATATTAATTTAAAAATTATAGTGATTGCTTAAAACATTAAGGATTTTTTTTTAATATTCTTTTAAACAATTATAAATATTTGTTTTTAATCAATTGCAATTCTTACATTATATAGTTTCATATTTAAATTAAAATTAAATAATCTTAAATTTAAATTAAAACATTTATTTTAAAAATAATGTTTATTTATACAATGTAACAATTAAACAATGAATAACATTGACATTTTTATTTAGTAGATTAATTATATTTGAAATCATAGGCATAAAAAGGTTATTTAATTAGATCCTTACGAAAATACAATTATAAAATGAAATTTAATAATAGGAGTATGCACAAATATAAATAATATAAAACAATATTAATAGTTGAAATATATTTTAAGTCAAAATCATAATAAATTATAAATAATATGAATAATAAATTTTTTAATAATCAATTAATATATTTATAGTAGAAGGCATTTATGTAATCAATATTAAAATATAATTCAAACTTTATAATTTCTTTAATGTATAACTTATTTACATGAAAATCTTATAAAAATGACATAATTAATAAAGCAAACTTAATTTTTGTCCTTTTAAAATTAACCTTACTTTTTTTTTACTAAATATATTGTATTAGACAGTGTAATTTTTAACAAAAAATTTTTATACTACCAATATACACTTGGTGTGTGATGTGTGTATTATGAATTGATAATTGTTTAAGTATAACTTATTTATAAATAATATATTAACAATATCGGTAATATTTACGTAAAATAATATTGCGGTCTAATATAATTCATTGTTTTGATATTGCATTGTAATAATAGAAATAATTGAATACTATGTAATGAGACTATGTAGAAGAAACTATTGTAAATTTTTTTTATAGAAAACGATGTAGATAGATTAAATAAGTGATTATTATTTAACGCTTTAAATTAAACAAAATTATTGTCAAAATATGAGTTAACATAAATAATTTTAAGTAACTGATAATGAAATTCGTTTAATTAATTTAAACTATTTTCAATAGATTGTAAATAAGTATTAGGTAATAAGGGAAAATTAATAAGTATAATATATAAAAAATTTTTTATATATTTAAAATTAACGATAAATAAAAGAAATCATAAGAAACTATTAGAATGCACTTTGGGCTGTTTAAATTCTAAGAAAATAGTATATCTTTTAAGTAAATAAAACTGAAATGTCATTTCAATAAATATTATAATTTTTTTCATTACCATCAAATTCATTTTGACTTAATTAATTAGTCTTTATGGAATAATATCAAAATCCTTACCACCGAGTAATGATTGGATCGATAGAAGAATGGTACGAACATCATAAAGAGCACTCCATTTATCTTTTAAAATATCCAAACATATATTACCCACATTGTCAACGTTTGGATGAAAGCACGGTGTCATAAAACGTACTACGGGTGCACTGTATGGATAACTATGTGGAAATTCTAAAGTTAATTTATATGTCAACCCCGCATATACCTGTAGAATGATAGTGCAAAAACCATAATAAATACAAACAGTAAATTCATCGGATCTATTAGATGAATTTATATATTCATACTGTATCATGAGGGCCATTGATCGTTCCAATCCATTTAAAAAGATTCTCTCCTTCGGGAAAAGCAGAAACGCCTTTTTCGGTACTCATCATTAACAACATAAGCTCCTTCTGCAAGCTATAAAAGCGTAACAAAGACTTAGATTTATAAAGTACTAGGTTATGTTATATTTTAACCTTCTATAAGATTAAGAAATTAAAACTAGATATTTAAGAGAATGTAATTGTAGAGCCGAGGTCCATGTAAACAAAATATTCTGGCCCCTAAGGTCAAATCATGACATAAAACTGAAAAACGGAAGAGACCATCTTTATGATGCTACGAAATATTATCTTTCATACCGTTTGCTCACTGCGTGATTGTCTTTGGGCATATTTTGCTTCTCCTCTCGAGCCTTACTTTGCGCCCCATGTGACGAATAGAATGGATTAATATTCTGAGCCATTATAAATCTTAATTACCGATTATATTTTTGTCAAAAAGTTATTCTCCGAATGCCAGATCGTTCGATATTATACACTAACTTCGGTCGAGGTACACAACAGTCACTGAGGGGCTTCGGAAATTTGAATGCTGCTGATCATACTGACGGCATCGAAAACATTCGAGCATTCGACGCGTCAACAGCTGTTTACATTCAACGGCATCATATACGCATGCGTGACTTTTATATTCCCAAGCAAAATTGGGAAACAAAGCTACTATAAATCGCCGTGAGATTCCATAAAAGTCGAAAATGTGAGGAATTGATATTGTTTAATTGTAAAACGAATGATTATTTACGTTGCCGGAAAATAATATACATCTCAAATTACTTGAAGTTATTCAATAAGTAATTAAAAGTGGCGCTGATTCTTTGTTCTGAAGAATCGATTTTGTAAAGCGATGTTTGGGTGCGAAATTTTATGAACGTATAGTAGATACTTTATTTGCCGATGATTACTTGGTTATTCCAATTGATTATTATATTAATAATGTGACATATGAAACAGCTTAAGATAATTAAGATAAGCTAAAGACAACGGATAACGATTGCTCAGACAGTCTAACTTAATATCAACTGCTCGTTTTGCAAATAAATCATTATAATAATAGTTTTCAAATGTTACATACACATTACACAATTAACTCTTTAAATTATAATAATAAATTCGATAGGTTTATCACTTAATTCATATATCGTTTTAATGAATGTAAAAATTGAATAAATTTATAGTTCTATGTTAAATGAAAAAATTAATAATAATTCTTACGTATAAAGTTTATTATTATTTTGATTTTTATTTTGTTATTAAATAAATAAATTTGATATTAAAGTGTATTAAAAAAAAATAATGAAAATGTATATGTGTGTGTGTTTGTTGTGTGTGTGTGTGTGTGTGTGTGTGTGTGTGTGTGTGTGTCTAAATAGATAGATATTCGTTGGTTCCATACGATTATAAAACTATAAAACTTTGCTATTAAATTGAATCGTTGAATTAAGTTACTTATTTCGTTAGTTATTTCGCTTAAGCGATAGACGTTAAAGTTCATGCGCGTACAAATGTTTATTATCGAATTGGAACAAGCTAACACTTGTTATAAAATTATAATTTAAAGAAAGACGTAGAATTTTTTATTTCCCGCTTTCCTCCTCATCGACGACAAAAGTTTCTATTGTATAGAGCAATGGTGACGCGCAGTTGTGATTTCTGTTAGTGTGCGTGCGAATTGTAATGTAAACAGTGCCGTTGAGTTGATTCCGATTCGCGATGAAAAGGTCGAGCATCGACACAACGAACGCACGTTCAATTGACCCATCGAATATCAATAAAGTCGCGCTTTGTTAAAAGCAGGAAAGTAGGAAAGCAGGGTAGCAGGGAAGCAGGGAAGCAGCGAAGCAGGGAAGTAGGGAAGCAGGAAGACAACACGACGATGTAGCAGTCGTATGCACAAAATCCAATATTCTCTATCGAATATATATCTATCTACCTCTTGTTGCTCGATTGGGGCGATAAAGTAGAAAAGGCAGGGGCAGGCCTCTTGCGACTCGGCTCGGATGCATCAATTACGGCCGCAGTGTTAGTCAATTATGTCTTGACGAAAATTTAGATGAGAGGGAAAGATGGCCGGGGCTCAGGGAACGCCAGAATCGGAGGCCGGAAGCTTCGAGTGCTTTCAAAATTATACGGCTCCTGAGGTCTTTGTTCAAGGTCTCGCTGGTATCGTTGACCAACAGGATGTGGAATCTATGATTCGTGCTCAGAAGCAAATGTGAGAGCTTTTCTTTCGCGTTATGGTTTGCTTAACTTATTGAATATTTACTTTTATAAATGCGACTGTGGAAATGCTAATGTAGAAGTGAAGGTGATGAATGCAAAGACCACTGTATGGACATAACAATATGCAAATAGACGTTCGATGAAGTATTTCTTTGACAATTGTCAAAGTGAAAATATTTTTACTGCGTTATCTTTTAATATGACATACATTTATTTATTTTAGTCGATAGCTTAAACAGTGGATAAATATTTAAGGATAGATTTTACAAATTTATCAAACTTTCAGGCTTATTAATTTTTCATTAATGATAAGGATTTTTCGCAAAACATAAAAAGAATATTTAAATATAGCACATGGCTCTTAACGATGTTTTATAGCGAGTATTTATTATGCAGTGGTGTATATCTTGTAAGAATTACATTAATTTTTATAGGCTTCAACGATTTGAAAAAACAAATGAAATGCTAACAAATTGTAATCACCTATCCGTTAATCGACTCAAGAGTGCTGGTAGTGAATTTAAAAAACATACTGCCCTCTTAGTTGACATGAAAAAGGATTTGGATTATATTTTTAAAAAAGTCAGAATCATAAAAAATAAATTGAGCCAACAGTATCCTCAAGCCTATAATGGTAATAGCATCCAATTTGTTAATATATCAAATATAATATATGAGTTTTGTATCGCATATCGTTAAATATGTTATAGATGCGGTAAGGAGCAGCTTAGCCGAGGAAGTTATTGTTGAAGATATAAATCAAGATCGAAAGCCTTTGGAGCCAGAAGTTACATCATTAACTCAATCTAATACAGGTGCCCAAAAACATCCTGTTTCACATGGTAATGAATAGTTCCTTAAAGATTCATATCGTATAATTAGCCTTAAATTGTTTCGTTATACAAGAAATAATTCTAAAAGACTCTATTAGGTAGTTCAAATTCATTATAATTTATGCATCTTCTTTTTATGAAGCAGTATTTGTTGTTTAATATTACATGAATAAATCTATTTAATAAACTCAAAATTTCTTGTAATATTATATAATAAAGTGTATAAATAGATTATTTAATGGTGCAATACTTTAATGATATACTATATAAATCATAAAAATATTAATATTTTTCATTAATTTATGAATTATAAGTAATAAAAATGATACATGGAAATAAAAAAAAAAAAAAAAAAAAATTTGAAAAAAATAATTAATATAATGATATTAAATATATTGATTAATAATATACTTATTGTTAACCATGATTAAATGCATTATTTATTTACCCTATTTACTTATTTATAAAAATAATTAACAATTATTTCATATGTCGTTGATCTGCAGTGCCAATTGAGGAATTTCAATTTGCAAAAATACGTGAAAGAGGAATTAACAGAAATGATGGTTCATCGACCGACAGTGAAAATGACCAAAGCAAACAAGATTCGTCATCGTGTTATTCTAATTCTAGTTAATTTCAAAGCAATTGCTTTTTATTCCTAGAAGAATATATGTTAAATATTTTATTACAGTATATTTATTGAAAATTTGTAAATATAACTTATTCGAATCCATTTATAAAGATAATAAATTTATTTGTATTTTAAAGTAAATCTAAAGTTATGTATAATTTTTCAGTAGTTATTGCAAAATTCTTTTAATTATAAATTATTAATGCGATTATTTTTCAAACTATTTGTGTTTTAATTTTAATAAGTGATTTTGTAATTTTAGTTTAAAGTATGTAATATATAAAATCAAGATAAGAAAAGATTTAGTTAATTAGTAATAGTAACTTTTTTTTCTAAATTTTTATAAATGAATTTTTCAACAAAAAAATGATAGATTGTTTAAGTGTAATGTTACTTCTTTATTTCACTATACATTCATGTTCTAATAGTGAAACAGACTAACTTCTATATTGCGCTTAAAATGAATTAAGAAGTTTAATAAGAATCATTATTCTATATATATATATATATATATATATATATATATATATATGTATAGGCATTTGTTTGCATATTAATTTGGTATTTATATAAAGTTGTTGGAGTTTAAAATGATTATTTGTTAATGACTACAGAAACCCATGTACAATAACGCGTACAACTATGAATAGTGTACAATGATTACTATAATTTTTTATTTTATTTTAATATATTATTTTTGCTTCGATATTTAATATGTTTAGTCTATTACTGATTATGCATATTAAATGTATTTCAAAAAGTCTAGTATATCTGTCCTCTGTACATCGGATAAGTTAAATATATATCTGATTAAATAAGTTGCTTTATTTATGAATCCAGATTCAAAAACATTCTTTCTTTATTCTTACCATTATTTTTTCAATAAGCGCATCTAGCATTAAAATTCTTTTTTGTTAAGAAACGGATTTTGTTTACAGATGTAGAAAGATTTTCACCTTACTTTTCTCTCGAGTAGCACTCGTTAATTGGTTTTAATCATCAATATAATTTCTCAATTTAATATTACTGAATTTATTTATTTTATTTTTTAATAATAATAATGTATTATAATAGCATTCATTTATTAATTGCAATTTGTATGCATTTCTGAACGTTTTTAATATTTAATTGATATTTATTGAGATTATTTTTTAAAACTTGTTCTTTTTTATTACATTGATTATATTTTGTTTTCCTGTCCGTTGTATTTATAATCAGATTTATGATATAAAATACGTTGAAATTAATGTCCATTGTATTTATAATAGGACTATCCATTTTTTTGTGAATCAATTTTAATTTTAAAATATTGCATTGAAAATCTCTATAAGATAATTATTGCTATTTACACTTTATATAAGAAATCTGAGACTTTATGATTATATGCTTTTCGTGATTATATATATATATATATATATATATATATCAGAATCATAATATTTACTGCATTTGACAAAAACTATATTTTATAAAGCAATTGTTTGCAATTTATTCTACAGATCGACATTTAGAACATCTTTATATCACGAACTCGTATCGCTATTTTTATGTAATTTTTCTCATCTTGTTAAAATTTTATTTGTTTGATTTTTAAAATGACAGACGTATTACTATATGCCGAAATTTATTCTACAAATATTGGAAGATTAATATTTATAATTATAGAGTTTTTTTTTGTTCAATTCTGACACATCGAAGATTTTAATATCAGACGTATTATTACAATCCTTTTAACTTTTTTATTTCTCTATATTGTTCTAATATTTGATTATTGCGATTTTAAAAATTTGCATTTTTTTAGTTTAAACCCGCATATATCAAATATAGTGCTTATACTTTCCAATAGGATTATTATTTTTCATGAAATTATTATCTTTATTTGGGTGCAACACTTAAATACTACTATTATAGTATATTAATTGTATGAATATTAAAATAAAAAAATATATAATACTTTAATTTTTTACGTTATTATGAAAATTTTATTTAGAAACTAATAAAAATATATATATATATATATATATATATATATATATATTGTATAATATATATACAATATTATTCGAGTTAATATATATATATTAACTTAATTTGGAACCGAAGTATAATATATATATATATATATATATATATATATATATATATATATATATATAGAGAGAGAGAGAGAGAGAGAGAGAGAGAGAGAGTATTCATATATTTTTACATATTACGTAAAAATACAATATAATGACAAAATTTACATTTAAAATCATTTTTTTTTGTAAGTATATTTATATATATTATAAAAATTGTGTTAAATAAGAGGTAAATTCGACATAATTTTAAAATTAATTGTTTATTGATTTGTAATTGAAAAAAAAGAAGTTATAAGTTGTAATGGTTTCAATTTCATATTATTTTAATGGGCAGCTGAAACTTGTTGACACTTTAAATTTGTCGAAGTATAAAAACTTCATTTATCAACAAATTCTACCGACGATTTCTTTCAATTTAAGTTTTATCGTTATATATCCCAGCGACCAAGCGTGTATGTAGCACCAAGAATTTTCCCTCGCCAACAATTCCAAAAGTTTTTCAATTTATATTGATTTGTAAATGCAGCTTGGGTCGACCACGTAGTGACACTCAGATCGTATTTATGTACTTTTTACCCCATTACCTAGCAATTACAGTATTATTCTCAAAGCCATCGGCTATCTTAATGCAATTCACCGTGCGGCCCAAGAAAAGCTGTCTGCCGAAAGGATAGAGGGTCCTAAAATCGTTAATCCATAAACTTGCCGCAGAAATTTCAACTGGAAAATAGCCTTCCGCTTTTTCTCCGTCAAGTCGAAAAAGGATAAAGGAGCGATGCGCCGATAGGAAGCATCGTTGAGCACACGAGGCGCTTTACTATACTCCAGTTTGCCAACACGTGCGCGCTCGAGACTCTCGACCTCGCGTATTCATGTTGATGTGTATAGACGTCGCTTGGGCATAGGAGCCAGCTGCGTCTCAGCTGTTTGCTGACGACGAGCCGACGCACCGAGAAAAGTATTTATTTATAGTTGTATTGTGTGATTATAGAGGCGTAAGCGGCAAGGCTCCCAATGTGTCGCGCAGGCTCGGATGGCTTTTCGTGGTGAGCCGAGCACTGCGCGACGACTTCCATCCGCGCGTTGACGTTACGATCGAACGTTAAGGTTCTTCAAGATCTAACGCTGACGAAGTAACGCGGAAGGTCGTAATAGATAGGGTAGGAACAAAGAGTGGATTGTTAAAGGCACGGATTTTTTATCTGTCATTAACATAGCTTCGCGATTTACAGTTGATAAATTAAAATGTCGTATTGAAATGGGCTGCGTCGACCGTTAATGTAATAACGCTTTGTCGCTTATGAAAAGCGTTTTATTGATTGGCAAATATATTAATTACAAATGCATTATCTTTTAAATGCTGTTTCATCGATGGCGCGCAGACTGCGAGCGTGGAAGTAAAAGATGGTCGCTTGTCAGCTGATGCACATTCTCCAATTCCATAAGCTTTAATGGTGCCCCTAAGCACGGCGTTCAAAGGCCATTAACATCATTGTGTATTTCATTTCGCTTTTTTATTGCTTACGTGAAATTAACGGTTTTCAAGTACACGCTATAAGAGCTGATTTATTATTATTATTATTATTATTATTATTATTATTATGTTTAATTATATATTTAATTATATATTGTTTTGATGAGCTCTATGAGCGTCGAGAATAATCCAAAGCTAATATCAATCGGCATTTATACTCAATGCGAAATACAGAGATTTTATGATTCTCTTACACGTCTTTTATACTGATTTTACAAAGGATCGACCGAGAATTGTTTATTTTATAAGTGTTCAACTCAATTGCGAGCGTTTTAATCCCAATAAAGTCTTTTTTATATAGCACACACACACACACACGCACGCACGCACACACAAACATATTAAACTTCAGAACATTTATATATTTATTATTTTTAAAGCAGTATTATATTAAGTGTTCGCTTCTGTTTTAAAATGATATTTATTTATAAGTGAATAATGTACGTCGTGAATTTAATTTTAATTTACGAATTATAGACTGTTTTCATAAAAGAGCTACTGAAGTTTGTATGTTTATGGCTATAAAAAAAAAAACTATTTCCTTTAAATTTAAGATTAAAAGATATTGCAACAGATGGCGAGAAAATTTTTGAAAACTATTATTATTGATAAAGTATATACTTTCTTCTTGTTGTTCATTTTATTCTATAAAAATAGTATTAATTTATCATTCATTGAATTTGGAACTACTTTATGAATTTATTTATAACCACATTGTGGTTTTATATTTGAAAATATTGCTTAGTTGTGTCATATTGCATTAAGTCGTAAGTATATTGAGTATTTTCAGAGACAATAAGGTGAATTTGTTGTTTAAATATTATAATACATATTATACACATCTATTTTTGGAGATTAGTTTGCTACTTGTAATGAAAAATTAATTTATAAACGTTCGATCGTACATAGGTAAAAAATAAATTCAATACGACTATTTATGACGGTAGAATATCTCGTGTATTTATAAATAAATGTGTATAAAAAATATTATAAAATTTTGTTTAAGCGAAATCTATCATATGGAAATATTTTTACAAGTTCAATTTGGTTTTATAAGCTTTATATGATTGTATAATATATAAAGTATAATTAAAACGAAATTTAATATAGTTTTGGGACTTAAAAAATATTTATAAATATCTGAACATTACCATAACTTTATTTAATGAGTTTTTTAATTCTTCTGTTTTAAAGCATCTAAGTTCTGAATTGGTTTATCGCACAAGAAAATAAAAAATTAAACAACTCTTTTATAAATAATCAGTTTTAGTAACAAATTTTACTTTGATTTTACAAAATATTTTGGAGATAAAATTAAAGTCCGTGTAATTAGAGTTAAGATAGTACAACTTGTTTTCAAATTTAAATGTCGATAAATATAAATCTATAAGCGAGTAGAATATTGATATAGCGAATACATAAGATCCTACATAAGAAAAATAAAGTAATTTATAAATTAAATATCGAT